TCTATCTATCTATCTATCTATCTATCTATCTAAATTGGAGAGAAACAAGTATTATTTTTATCATACATTTTGGACAGATGGTGATGCTTGAGGGATTGAGTTACTTTCACTCCAAATTTTCTAAGATTGATGTTCAGACTGCTCTCCACACTGTGAACATTGAATGACAAAAAGTCAAGGCAACATTTTTTAAGCTTAATGAGTTAATCAGGTTTAAACTTTTTAAGCTATGCAAAGTTTAACTTCATATTTTTAATCAGTTTTATTGGTGTAAGTTGAGATAACTAGAAAAGTTAATTTGACTGAACTAAAAAAAAATAAGGCTCTGGATCTGTGAATATGTGAGACAAATTTCCTAACTTTAATAGACATACAAATATTCAATGTTAGTTCATATTTGATCAGGTTTAATAAACAATAATAACACAATACAATACATGACAAGTAGTTAATGTTACATGTAATGTAACATATTTACTTACACCTAAAGCAAAAAAAAAGAAAAAGAGCAACATTTACTGCATTATTAAAATCCAACACTGGACTTCTTGACATTAGTTAATCCACTGATCTTACATGAACAAACAATTAACAACTGTCTATTCATTAATTAATGCTAACAATTAAAAATAAATACTTTAGTAAAATAATGGTTTTTATGTTAGTAAATATATTAACTTACATTAACTAAGTGCTTCATTTTGTAAAATGTTATCAATAATACAACCAGACATAACTTTTGAATAGTAGAGAGAATGTACTGTACTGTTAAGGGTTGAAATGAAGTCTATTGTAAAATGGCAGTGTTAACATTATATGGAGGCTGAAGACAGCTGCGATTCCTCAGATGTTCTGTTCGTAACCCTAACAGCGTCACCCAGACTTTTGGCAGACTTTGAGATATTGCAGACAGTGATCAACCAACACGCATGCAGCATTACAACAAGAGTGAAGCACACAATATTTATAGAGCAATCTGACTACAAACCATCTGCCCAAAGGAAAAATCCAAAGGCCCATCTACTGTATATGTATGTAGTAAATCACTGAAAGACTGAATACATAAGGGAAACACTTCTAAACTATGCTTAAATTTACATCTGTTAGCTTACACTGCCATCTTTTGTAGAGTCTGGGAAAAGCATCAACGCTGTGAGCCAAGAATTTCAATAATGACAGTTCCTGTTTAGCAAGCTTGGAGATTTCAAAAGGAATCTCACTCTGAAATGTGAACTGACATGAACTAGACTTGGTTGCACAACTGTTCTGACTTTGTACACTTCCACCAGCTGTATGTGTCCTAATCAAAACTTATACTTACTAACTTATAATAGCTTACATTTAAAAGCAAAATAAAATCCTTGTCTACTTGAAAAGTTGATTTAAAAACATGTGAATTGCAAATCTGTATATTGTGATGTTTTTGAAATGGTATGAATCCGTTGATGGACAAGGGTTGAGGGTCAAAGTACATTTCTGTTTTGTCACCCTTTCTGAATATTGCGTGGATATGGGTGTGTCTCTTTGTATTATATATCAGATCCCAACAGAGTTCTGCTGCACACACTTGCAAAGAGAGGTTACATTAAAGCTTGTACAAATAGACAAAAATGAAACCTGATGAAATCTGGAATCTGAAATGTAATATGTCAGGCTGTATGATGTTTGAAATATGAAAAGTTATGTTAGACAGCATATCAAACAGAGAGTGTAGATCAGAATTTAACCCAGGCTCATTCTGATTATGTACCCCTATATACATTCCTGGAGATCACCAAATACATCCCAGGAGGTACGTTTTTTTTTTTTTTTTTTTTTTTTTTTTTGCGAATCCCGGAGGCCACTGTTTATGCTATGCATGACTGCTTTTACATTTACATATACATTTAGTCATTTAGCAGACGCTTTTATCCAAAGCAACTTACAAATGGGGACAAGGAAGCAATTTACACAACTATAAGAGCAACAATGAATAAGTGCTATAGGCAAGTTTCAGGTCTGTTTTATGTTTTCTGTCTTATGTAAGTTTCTTGCATAAATCCAACAGAGGCCACTGTTGACCTACTTTTTCCAACCCAACCGATAGTGTTTTCAAAAGCACCGATTGACCTGATCACCCACTTCTCTAAACCCAACCGACAGGGTTTTGAAAAGCAATCCAGAAAAAGAAAAGCTGCTAGCGCGAAAAGGAACAGCACTATACAGCCTAATAGCGTTCGTTTTAAAGACAAAATGCAGCCATACGTATTTCTACCAACAAAATTCGCTATCTCCAAAACTATATATAGGGCTACATTTCAAAAATAAATCAATGTTGACCAAAAAAAGGTCAAATTAAACATAAGGTCATGATTTCTTCAAAAATCGGATGAAAAACTGAAATCTGGAGTGCAATGTGTCAGGCTGTATAATATATTGCTTTGAAATATGAAAGAGCATATCAAACATAGAGAATGGAGATCAGAATTTGATTTACTTTTTTAAAAAAATAATGGAATGTATACTGTTTAAAAATGATTGTTAGCTAAACCATGCTAGCAGAAATCCTAGCTTTTAGCTCTGCCCCTGCCTTCATCCTCGGCAGCCATAGCTGGATCTACAAACTTTTGATTCAAGTTCTAGATAGGGCCTCCGCCAAATAAATCCTATGTTTTGTTAAATAGTACTATTTGTCAAACAATACTCTTCAAATAAATGTAGTTAAATATTTTACTTATCTCCCTGGTCTTTCTAGTAGAACAGTGTTTTAAAAAAATATCTGAGTCACTTTATTGAAAACCATTATTTTGTGGAAAACACAGTGAACAATATTAGCGAGCACGATGAGATTACAGCAAAAATTTCTAAAGGTTCAGCAGTCAATATTATTAGTGCAAAACAAGAGTACAGGACAGTTCTTTTGTTTTCAGTGATATCACTAGTCTCTTACCGACATCACCAGTCTCTCATAGACATCACTACTCTCTAGCAGGCTTTTCTAGAGTCTCACAAACATCACTAATCTCTTACAGTACATAACTTATCTCTAAAAGTTCTTTGCTGTGATCTTCATTCTCTTCTTCTGTCTACTCCACAGTTCACTGACTATAGTTTTTTAGTCATGACTTTATCAACAAGCGCGTTCCAGAGATTTTTAATCAGGTTCAGGTCAGGACTCTGGACTGCCATTTAATTTTTTCAGCTTCAAAAGTAAATAGTTTTACTGTGGAATGGGGCTTATTGACCTGCATGTGCTTGCTGGCTGTTTGAATGATCAACCGATTTTCTGTCCACATAACAAAGGTTAGTCTGGTTTTTTGATTAGTAGCCTACTGCTGCAGAAGGTTTGGTCACCGTGGACTTTCAGTCCAAATTCTCTAAACTTTGGAGCATATTTGTCAAAACACAAATCTTTACTCTATCTAGAGCTGAATTAACTGATCAGCAATTCCAACTGCATTGTTGAACCGACTGTACATACAGATTTTCCACAAATATTCTGTAACTGTAGAACTGTAAAAAGTTTGGCTGTCAGTAAAATAGTGTTTGTCAGATAACTAAGGAATATCATCTGTCACAGATGATGAACACCAATAACTGGAAAGATCTGAAAATGTTCACTAATTTTAGTCAGTGTTCGTTTTCAAGTATGTCATTTTAGGTTATGTATGAATGTTTAGGCTTCAGAATATATGAAGAGCCACAATTGCCATCTGAGACATTTTTCTCTGGCTCGACTGTGTATGATCGGGTAATGTATGTGTATTGTGATGAGTACCTTGTTTTTAATGCAATTAAAGGTAAATAATTGATCACAAACAAAAGAAGCTGAAAAATATGTTAATTCTAGAAGAAAAGCACTTTGGTGTTTTTTGAATCTGAACTTTTCATATGTAACTCATGAAACATGCTTAACAACTGCTTTTTTAACTTACTTTTTGAATATTACTTCAAATAGGAATAGCTTTTTAATTATTTTCAAATTTTGATCACTGTACATTGATATATCTTTCTATGTATATGGTGTTATTTACCCAGACACATTCTGAAAATGTACCGCTTTATACATTTCTGGAAAGTTCCAAATATGTTTCAGTAGATACGTTTTTTGCAGTTTTTTGTTTTCGCAAATGCACCAGAGGCCACTGTGTATGGTTTTTTAGAGCTCAAATATTTCTCTCAAGTGCCATTCACCTGCTGTTCTCACATAAATCCACTAGCGACTGCTGTTTAATGACTGACTGACTGACTGACCAATCAACTGACTCACCTTTCTCCTTACCTAAACCCAACCAATAGGGTTTTTTAAAGCACAGATTGACCCACCCCTGACATCCCTAAACCCAACCAACAGTTTTTAAAAGCAATCCAGAAAAAGAAGAGTCCTTGCCTGATTTATTTATTTTTTTTCAGATTTCACCACATTCTCACCCTGTTATTTACTTGTTTATTAAATTTTTTGGCTTTTGTTTTGTTTTATATGCTTTCTGCAACCATACTTTGCCTGACTCAAACCTTGTTGTCATGGACACTCCTCTCTGCGAGCTACTGGACAAACTTATAACAGCAGGAAAGCCATTCAAACGAAGGTAAGCGGTCAGCTGGCAAGCACGAAAAGGAATGTCATCAAACCACTCTGCAACGTTTGTTTTAAAGACATAGGTTTAAAGATGACATACGTACTTCTGGCTACATTAATTCGCAATCTCCAGAATATATATAGGGCTACTTTTTAGAATGAGCCCATGTTGATTGTTATATAAGTAGCTAATATAAAACAGTTTGACAATGTAGACAAAAGTAAAAGCATGCATTTCATTTGCAAAGAGCATATACATTTCAATAGACACCAAATCCAGCAACACTAATATTTTAAATCAAATACTTAAATCATAAACATTCTGGAAATCTACTATTAATATCTAATACAGCCTAATGTGTCTCATATAAAGCAAAACTTCCTGTTCCGCTAACAAATTCAAACTCAGAAACCCCTACACATGGGTGTGTTCATGCATTCATGACATTGCTAGGCTTTCCCAGAAGTCACTCAGCAGAGGTGAGTTGGCTCAGGTTACGACAAACATTGTCACAATCACCAGAAAAACACCTGACAAGAACTACAACTCTTCATTCTGTGCCGAACTTCTCTTATCTGCCCGACCCTTCTATAACCGCAGCTGAAGATAGAGATATGTGACCCCTTCCTCTTAAAGTCCACTGACATTGGATCTAAGCAGACAGCAGGTGAGTGAAGTGTTTATGTGTTACTACGGTATTATGTTTAAAGTGTTACATAAAGTTTGTTTATGAGACACATGCTTTTAGATTTATGTTGCTAGCTGTTGACTTCATTCATTGACGTACATGTACATGTGCTGTATTATGAGATTAGCAGGTAACTAAGGAAGTATGAGAGTCAAACGTGAACATGTTTTGCATAGGTTCTCCAAAATAAGGTCTGAACGTGATTGTAAGCATACTATGAGCTTTGGATTTTAGCATGATTTCATTAGAGACGTAAAAATAGTAATCAATTTTAGACGTATTTTTTGAGGTTAATATTAGATGTCAATTTAATGTTGTTTTAATGTTAAGGTAGTTTACATGCATTGTAGAAATACAACATTCAGTTTAAATTTGTAATTTGATACATAATTTTTCTCATATTAATATATTTTGTGTCATTATTTTGGTGGTTAAAGGAGCATCAATGTTTGGATGTCAAATAGATGTCAAGTTTTTGACATACAATTAATTTGCTTAATTTTTAATGTGTTTTTTGATGTCGTTTTAACATCAAGGCACCCACTGGGTCAGTCACACCATTGTTTGTTTGATTCCATTAGTCCAGTACTTGTTGACAGCCATATTTGCATACAGATGTAGATCTTTTGACAGTCAAAATCCTTTCAAATCTGTGTTTGCCGCGGGTCTGGATTTGTATATGTGGCTTTTTTGAGAGAGAGAGAGAGAGAGAGAGAGAGAGAGAGAGAGAGAGAGAGAGAGAGAGAGAGCAAGCATTGACTTGAACAACCACACCACTCCCTCTAATGCTCAAATTCATTGAACGCTTCAGGATTGACTGAGCAAAGTGAAAGTACAACTCAAACAATCCTAAATACACAAGACCGGCAGGCTTTTTTTTCAGTGGCCTCAGGCTTTAGTGTTTAAAGAAAGAAGGGACTTTTGAAAGGGCCTGTTTGCTAATGACACATTAGCACGGAGCATTTTCAGATGTCTTCACTCAAATACCACAGTCATTAATGCTGACAGAAACGTGTTTGGGCACAGTTGGAACTCTTCTGTGTGTAATATTAGGCAGTCTTGAATGTCTTGATGACTGCAGAGACATGAATATTATTCAGTTGATATGGCCAACATAGGCTTATTCGGAAAACGTAGCTATATAGATTTCTGGAAATCATGAATTAAGTAGCTAGAGCATTTTGTCTTAAAAACTAATGCTACGAGGCGGTATGACGCCGTTCCTTTTCTCTCTTACCAGCTGACCGCTTACCTCTGTGTGGACGGCTTTTATGCTGTTACTAGTTTGTCCAATAGCTCAACCGCAGAATGGAGTTGACCGCGACAACGGGGTCCAAGTCCAGCGAAGCATCGTTCCAGAAAGCGGGTAAAACAAAAGCTAAAAAATAAAATAAACAAGTAAATAACAAGGTTAGAATGTGGTAAAATCTGAAAACATGATAAAAATCAGGCTGCCGAGGGCTTTTCTTTTTCTGAATTGCGTTTGAAAACACTGCTTTAGGGTGTAGGGAAGGTGGTGGGCAGGTCAAACCTAGTGCTTTTTAAAACATTATTGGTTGGGTTTAAAGAAGGAGGGATTGGTCAGTAAATCAGTCAGTCGACAGTGTCCTCTGGTGGATTTAAGTAAGAACTGAAGGCGTGAATGGCAGTCGCGAGAGAAATTTGAGATCTCAAAATGCATACACAATGGCCTCTGGTGGATTTGTGAAAACAAAAACTGCAAAAAAAAGCATAGCTCCTGGGAAGTATTTTGCTCTCTACAGAAATGTATACAGTTGAAGTCAGAATTATTAGTCCCCTGAATTATTAGCCCCCTGTTTATTTTTCCCCCCCAATATCTGTCTAACTCATTACTAAACATATTAGATTTAATAACTGATTTCTAATAACTGATTTTATATATATATATATATATATATATATATATATATATATATATATATATATATATATATATATATATATATATTCGCCATGATGACAGTAAATAATATTTTACAAGATATTTTTCAAGACACTTCTATACAGCCTAAAATGACATTCAAAGGCTTAACTAGGTTAATTAGGTTAACTAGGCTGGCTAAGCAAATTAGGCAAAACTTTTTCCAGAAGAAAAAATATTATTAGACATACTGTGAAAATGTCCCTGCTCTGTTAAACATCATTTGGGAAATATTTAAAAAAAATATTAATAATTCAAAGGGGGCCTAATAATTCTGACTGTGCTATAGCATTGTTCTTTGTGTCATATCAAAACATGTTTTATCAAAGTGCATGATTGCTAAACAAATACATTTTAATGTTTCCATCACATAACCTCTGTTAAACTGTAAACAGTCAGTGAAGTGTTTCAAGTTGCACACTTTGATGACCTGGAGTTATTATTCACATTAAATTTAATGGTAACACTTATACAATGTTCTTAATCATTGTGATTTCCTACTTTGTTTATGATTCAGTTTTTTGTTACTTGATTCATGTTTTACATTACAATCTTTGCAATCGGGCAGCATGGTGGTGCAGTGGGTAGCACAATCATCTTACAGCAAGAAGGTCGCTGGTTCGAGCCTCGGCTGGGTCAGTTGGCATTTCTGTTAGGAGTTTGCATGTTCTCCCCATGTTTGCTTGGGTTTCCTCCGGGTACTCTGGTTTCCCCCACAATCCAAAAACATGCAGTAGAGTTGAATTGGGTAGGCTTAATCGTCCATAGTGTATGTGTGTGAATGAGTGTGCATGGATGTTTCCTAGTGATAGGTTGCACCTGTAAGGGCATCTGCTGCATAAAAACATATGCTGTATATGTTGGCAGTCCATTCTTTGGAGACCCCAGATTAATAAAGGGACTAAGCTGAAAAGAATAAGAATGTATGAATGGATCTTTGCAGTCTTATTTAGAAATATAATAATGGTTTAAACATTGCTGTGTCAATATTGGGCTATGAGAGTTTCAAAATAAAACATATAAATGTTTATAAAACAACAGCCTTATAATAATTTTACAATATAACAATTTTACTATATAATAATATGATAAAGCATTTGAGTGTCATAGTTAACACATTTAAAAACAGCAGTGCACGTTGTGAATGACCTACTATTTTGTTCTCTGTTTAAAACATACTCTTTTATTTATTTCCTGGTAACACTTTACACTTTAACCCCTAATGCTGTCTTTACTTAGACAGTTAAGTAAAGTTGACTGAACATAACTTAAAATTTAGCATTTTGGTCCTATCACTTAAAAATATGAGTTAGTTTAACTTATGTACCAAGAAAAGGCATAAACTTTAAGTATAGTGAGCTCAAAATTATGATTCATTATTTGAAAGAAATAGGTAATTTTCACAAATGTAGTTTTTTTTTTATATTTATTTATTGTATATTTATGAGTTAACAAACAAAAGTAAAAAAAAAGACAATAACAATACAAATAGAAAAAAGTATAACAAAATTAATAAAAAATAATAAAAATAAACCACATTATAAATCTCATATTGTGTGACAGTATATGATGTGCATAAACAATATATGCTGTAAAATTCTAATATGTGCAACCTTTTAAGTGCAAGGTCTTTTTTAAATCAGAAATGGCTTCATTTGTGTTTTCATACATTGTTAATAATTCATTTTTCATTACTTGATGTAACAGACTATCTAAAGGGGGACCATCAAAATAAAGTGTTACCAATAAGGGTACTGTAAACATTGCTCTGTCAATATTGGGCTATAGGAGTTTTCAAAATACAACATAAAATGTTTATAAAACAACAACAATAGAATAATTATTTTAATATAACAATATGATAAAGCATTTCAGTGTCATATAAAGTTAACACATTTAAGAACAGCTGTGCATGTTGTGAATGAACTATTTTTTCTCTATTGAAAACATACTCTTTCATTCATTTCCTTTTTTGCAAAGCATTTAATTGTCAGTTTTAATGGATTTGCAAAGCACAAAAAGTCCCCACTTTAGATTTTGCTTACACATTATTATAACTGCACACTATGAATCATTTATAGAGCATTAGCAAGTTGTTTAGCATTTCTTAAGTATTAACTCTATGACTCTATGACTTAAGTATTAACTCTTATTACAATTAAATTGCAGTCTCTGCAATCCTATCTTCAAATTTTCTGTTGAAAACATACTCTTTCATTCATTTCCTTTTTAGGAGAGCATTTAATTGTCATTTATAAGGGATTCACAAAGCATAAAAGTCTTCACTTTAGATAATATTATCACATTCTAATAACTGAACACTATGAATCATTTATTAAGCATTAGCTCTACATCAATAGACATTATTACACAGTTTATAACATCTACAAAAGCTATATGCTTGACTTGTAAGCAAGTATAATGTGCATAATGATTGTATTTTAATTCTTTGTTAATTTTCATTACAAAATTAAGTATTTTCCAGTACTGGGTTGCAGCCTGAAGGGCATTTACTTTGTAAAACATATGTTGGATAAGTTGGTCGGTTCATTCCACTGTGGTGACCCCTGATAAATAAAAGGACTGAGGCTGAAGGAAAATGAATGAATGCATAAATTATTGCATTATTTACAAACCAGTTATTTAACAGTAGTTGTAGGTTTTAAGATAATTTAGAATGAGTAAGTATGATTAATAAAATATTCAAATTATTGATTTTACATCTTATTTTCCATGCATATAGTACTTTGTATGCAATAAATGCTTTATTACAACTTAATGCAGTTTTGTGATCTAATCTGAAGTGAGGATTATTTATGTTCACATATAAACCCAAATTAAAGGCTCTATATTAAATTAAAAATAAAAATTGACTGTTTTATTTAATAACTAAAATTACTGTACAATTTAAACATTCTTAAATGACATTGAAATGTATTATCTTATTATTATATTGTAGTATTATTGTTATGTTTCATCTAAATCATGTTATATGTTGATTCTCCTGTTATTCTGCATTTTTTTCATAATTATGTTTATTGAATATTCACAACAATACAGACATAACAAAACATCTTCAAAAGATACACAAAGAAAGTAACAACACAAAACATTCATTCATTCATTCATTCATTTTCTTGTCGGCTTAGTCCCTTTATTAATCCGGGGTCGCCACAGTGGAATGAACCGCCAACTTATCCAGCAGGTTTTTACGCAACGGATGCCCTTCCAGCCACAACCCATCTCTGGGAAACATCCACACACACATTCACACAAAAAACTCAAACACTACGGACACTTTAGCCTACCCAATTTACCTGTACCGCATGTCTTTGGACTGTGGGGGGGCACCTGGAGGAAAACCACGCGAACACAGGGAGAACATGCAAACTTCACACAGAAATGCCAACTGAGCCGAGGCTTGAACCAGCAACCCAACGACCTTCTTGCTGTGAGGCGACAGCACTACCTACTGCGCCACTGCTTCGCCCAATACAAAACAATGTAGAGAAAAAAAGAAAGAAAAAAAATGGCATAAAAAACAACACTACCCCACAATAAAAAAGATGAGAAAAAAGGATAAAAACATTGCTTGTTTTTCAGATAGCAATACAATTACAATATTCCTTTTAGCATAATAGGGCAAAGACCAGGTTCCAAATCATGTAAATATGGAGTCCAAACTTTGAAAAAACATTTCTGTTTTTTTTTTTTTTTTTTGTGTGTAAGACATGGGTAAGATGTTCCAGAGGAATTAACTCAAAAAACATCTTGTGCCAACCTTTAAGTGATGGAGATTTATCACTAAGCTAATTAAGTTAAATATTTTTTCTGGTGGCAAATGTTAATATATTATTTAATTTCTTATTAGCTGATAAAAAAATGTGTGCATTGGGAATACCCGAAATCAATGAAACTGGGTCAAAATCCAACGGCATGTCAAAGTTTTTATCCATTTCCCCCAGCACCAAGGACCAGAACCTTTGCAGTCTGTTACATGACCACATACAATACGTTAAAGTACCTACATCAGTTTTACGTTTTAAACACATCAGTAAATTAGAAGGGTTAAAAAGATGTCTGTGGTTAGGGAACATGTTTTCTGCAATTTAACCACACAATGGTTTCTGATTATAAACTGCTTTTAATTTACCTTAAAGGAAAAAATGATGCCCTATAGAAAAAAAATAAAAGCATTAGTTTTTCTCAAAGTAGTATTTTTACTTTAAACCAGCAGGTTGTTTGTTTTTATTTTATTTTATTTTATTATTATTTTTTTTTTGTCATGTTGACCACATCGCATGAATCCTCGCTCGGTGGCGTTTTGCCATCTGTCGTTATTTAATTCAAATGTCAAGTTGGATTTTTTTCCTCAAAAATAATTAATTTATGTTCTCTATTTAAAATAATAATAAAAACGCTATTTTTCTTGTGAGTGGATGCATTTTTATCCCTTAAGCAGAATGAATATTTTGATTAGGATTAAATTATATCGTTTCAACCAAGTCAAAACTAATATTTGAGAATTGTTTATAAATTAGGCTGTAACAATTTAGAGTATTTTTTTTTGTCCAAAGCAAAGTTATACTTTGATGTATGGGTAAAAACAATGTTTATTGTTAATACATTGTTTTACCAAATTGTTTAAAAAACAAAAAAATTATTAGTGATCTCTAATATGAAGTATTGCAATTGTTGTTGTTGTTGTTGTTGTTGTTGTTGTTTTACCACAATAGATATTTGTGATTTAGATTAAGAGCAATTCTGAAGTTTGAACCAAAGTTCAATTATTCTAACAAATTAACAAATTACAGCAAAATGTTTAAGTAAGTCCAAAGTCAACTCTGGTTGCCATCTGGTTCTTACTTTGTTTCTTTTTTTATCATTTCTTGTATTTCAGAACAACAAATCAACGTTCTTTGTATAAAACTTGCTATTTACAGTATTTAATGACATGCACTGGAGCGGTGCAATGTCAGTTTGCAGTTATTTTGCATACACCAACATGCTTTTAAAACCCATATCTGCAATTGAGAAATTTGGATATTTAAAAGATAAATCCCCTAATGATAAAATAAATTGCTTTTGAATATGGCATGGTGGCTCAGTGGTTAACACTGTTGCTCACAGAAAAAAGATCACACGGCAGGACCAGTTTGCATTTCTGTGTGGAGTTGTCATGTTCTCCTGTCTTCGCAAAGGTTTCCTCCGGGTGCTCCGGTTTCCCCCAAAGACATGCGCTATAGGTGAATTGGGTAAAACAGATCTGGCTGTAGTGTATGATTGTGTGTGTAAATGAGTAAGTGGGTTGCAGCTGGAAGGGCATCCGCTGCATAAAACTTATGCCAAAATGCTGGTTCATTCCACTGTGGTGACCCATGAATAAGGGACTAAGCTGAATGAATGAATGAATGAATGAATGAATGAATGAATGAATGAATGAATGAATGAATGAATGAGCAAATAATGAACGAATTAATGAACGAATTAATGAACGAATGAATGAATATGAAATTTGAAAAGTTACATTTACCTGGGGCAAAAGCCATATTCCCAGTGATCCTGGATTGATACTGTCAGTTAATAAATGCTGTGCATATGCAAATGTATGAAGAATATACTTTCTCCACAGATCGGGTCGGCTTGTTGAAATGAATGCAGTCCAGTCAAACTCTGTTGTTCAAGTTGGTGCTGGAAATGTTTGCTCCAGGTCAGTAATTGTTCATATTGTATTGCATCATATTTTATTTATTCATACATATACACAAATTATATTTTAATGAAATCAAAGGATTACTCTATATGTAATCAATGACATGGCAGGCTATGTACTGTAAACATAAGCCTGACATCTGAGACATTGAAAATCTGACAATCAAAATATAATTGTAACTCAAACAGTTTTATTTATCTAATTTCCTTATATGCCTGTCCTTTCTTGCTTGACTCACTTCTCGCACTGGATTCAAAGGGCTGAGTTTTTCTCTTTACTGAACACCTACAACTGCTTTCTTAAAGACAATACACACCTGCAGCTCACTGTTCATGAGGTAAAAATTACTTTTATGTCTTTATATCTTAATGGCTTATTATGCAGTCATTGCATGAATTATTGTGACATAAAAATTAGACAATTGTGGCAGTGTGTGATTTTGCATGCATATGTGTGGACTGGGCCCTCCAGTACTTTTGCAAAACAAACAAAAAAAAGTATTATTCTGCCCTCTGCTGGAAATGAATGATATTTCATACCAGTAGAACTAATGTTTAATGTTTTTCAGTATGCAGGAAATGTGACATTGGAAGGCATCCTGGTCATTTACTGGGGTGTAAAGAGACCCATTCGGTTACAAATACAAGATGAGAAACAGACATGTTCTAATGAGTCTTCAGTCAAATCACCAGACCCCATCAGTCCACTAGGAAACAAAAGGTTTGTGCTATTTATTTTGTTATCTCAGATTCTGTGGATAGATAGATAGATAGATAGATAGATAGATAGATAGATAGATAGACAGACAGACAGACAGACAGACAGACAGACAGACAGACAGACAGACAGACAGACAGACAGACAGACAGACAGACAGGTAGATAGATAGATAGATAGATAGATAGATAGATAGATAGATAGATAGATAGATAGATAGATAGATAGATAGATAGATAGATAGATAGATAGATAGATAGATAGATAGATAGATAGATAGATAGATAGATAGATAGATAGATCTATAGATAGATGGATGTGTCCCCACCAGTATCCAGCAATTACTAAAATATGTCCCCACCAATAATTGAATCACCTTCAAAATAAAATAATGCTCCGTCAACCCTTAGTAACCTTGTCATGCAGAAGGGATTCAATCAAAACACAAAACATATAAGGACAGTGTGATTGTCTGGGCCTATTTATGGCTGTAATTTCATTAGAATGTGATAAGGGACAAAACAATCAATTTTCTCAGTCCTCCTTCATTGTACAAGATGTGGACATACTGAAAGTAGCAACTTTTCAAAGAGTCAAGTTTTTAAAGTCAAGCTTAAATGGAGTCCAGCATACTGTAATAATATTAACCAAGGCTGTGCAATTAGGCAAAATTAAGTTTATATAATAATAATCGGGGTGACGCAGTGACACAGTAGGTAGTGCTGTCACCTCATAGCAAGAAGGTCACTGGTTCAAGCCTCGGCTGGGTCAGTTGGCGTTTCTGTGTGGAGTTTGCATGTTCTCCCTGCATTTGCATGGGTTTGCTACGGGTGCTCTGGTTTCCCCCACAGTCCAAAGACATGCGATACAGGTGAATTGGGTAGGCTAAATTGTTCGTACTGTATGAGTCTGAATGAGTGTGTATGGATGTTTCCTAGAGATGGGCTGCAGCTGGAAGGCCATCCGCTGTGTAAAAACATATGCTGGATAAGTTGGCAGTTCATTCCACTGTGTTGACCCCAGATTAATAAAGGGACTAAGCCGAAAAGAAAATGAATGAATTATTGCAATTGTTGTTGTTGTTGTTTTACCACAATAGATATTTTGATTTAGATTAAGAGCAATTTTAAAGTTTGAACCAAAGTTCAGTTATAATTTGAAAAAAAAAAAAAAATAAAAAATTACTGTAACAAGTTACAGCAAAATGTTTAAGTCAGTCCAAGGTCAACTCTAAGGTTGCCATCTGGTTCTTACTTTGTTTCTTTTTGATCAGTTGTGGTATTTCAGAACAACAAATCAACATTCTTGGTATAAAAACTTGCTATTTACAGTATTTAATGACATGCACTAGAGCGGTGCAATGTCAGTTTGCAGTTATTGCAGTGTATAGACTCCAGATTAATAAAGGGACTAAGTCGAAAAGAAAATGAATGAATAATAATAATCAGGATTAAAAAAATTGCTTCGGTGCATTTCTTACAACACTCTTTACATTTAAACAATAGCTAATGCATTTCTCAAAACAATTAGTACAAACTGCAAAACCTAGTTGATAACCTGCAAAAGTGTATCACTCATTCCATTAGCTCATCCCTCAAAAAAGGTATTCCTGTCAATGAAAGTGTCAGTGTCATAAAAGTCCTGACACTATTGTTTATAAACAAGTCATAGTCATATGACTTTGTCATATTTTCATTATGACAGTTTACTCTGTACAATTTTTCCAATGCAAAAAAAAGTCAGATTTTGGTGACACTTCCTGTTCAAATGCTCAAGACAGCACTTTTTTGCAGTATTATATACTACTTGCCCAGCCTAAGTACAGTAAAGCTACACTACAGTAACTACAGTACTGTAAAACTACAGTAAAGTTAGACATCACTGCATTTAGTGAGGTATCTGAGTACAAGACACTGAACAAGTATGTTTCATATTTTTACTGCATATGCTCATTTCTATTCCAATGTATTCACAACATTGTACCAAAAAATAAATGCACCCTTATTTTCAACAAACATAAACTTCCTTTGGGTAGAGCTGTGCACAACTGTAAACATATTGCAGTGCATATTGGAAATGAAACTATAACATACATAGGTCTGTAAATCATTCATGAAATTGTTCAATTTAGAAAACATTTTCATATATATATATATCAACTTATAGATCAACTTTTTAAATTTTTTTTTTTATAAAATTAGATTGAAAGATTCTGACAACTAGTTTAACATTTTGGCAAAGCAGTGACGCAGTAGGTAGTGCTGTCGCCTCACAGCAAGAAGGTTGCTGGGTCGCTGGTTCGAGCCTCAGCTCAGTTGGTGTTTCTGTGTAGAGTTAGCATGTTCTCCCTGCGTTCGCGTGGGTTTCCTCCAGGTGCTCCGGTTTCCCCCACAGTCCAAAGACATGTGGTACAGGTGAATTGGGTAGGCTAAATTGTCCGTAGTGTATGAGTGTGTGTGTGTGGATGTTTCCCAGAGATGGGTTGTGGCTGGAAGGGCATCCGCTGCGTAAAAACTTGCTGGATAAGTTGGCGGTTTATTTCGCTGTGGCGACCCCGTATTAATAAAGGGACTAAACCGACAAGAAAATGAATAAGTTTAACATTTTCGTATGTAATGACTCAAGTAATGAAAGGAGGACTATTAGTTTTACATGCAATGACTTTTTAGCATTCAAGTTTAGTTAATTTTGACTAACATGACATAAGCTAATGATAATGTTATAAACAGAGAGAGTTGTGAAAGCAATTGATGCATGTCCAAAAGCTTTTGCAATTTGCTGGAAGGAATGAGAAACTGCTACTATGATGTGCACAAATGACTAATTGTTTTGAGAAATGCATTAACTGTCAGGCAAATGTAAATAGTGTTGTGAGAAATGCACAAAAGCCACTGAGAAAAACTGTAAGTGTTTGAATCCTATATTTATGTTTTTTAAAGCATGAAAGAGAATTAGTGCTGTTTTAGGCTTTGTTGAAGATTCTGTCTTATGTTTTCTAATTCAATTATGTGTTTTGTGATTCGATCAACTGTGCCATTAGGGGTATGACACGATGGGGAGAATTTGACAACCTTCACAATATTGCTGAACTGGAGGAAGCTGGATCACCTGAAAATCCTACTGAAGGTTCAGTTTCTTTAACATTATTTGATGTTACAGTAGAATTTGGACTATGGTAACACAACTGATGGATCATATATGGTATTTCAGAAAATAAATGAATAAATATTAATTTACTTGAACACTTGTTCTCTTAGTAGAACATTAAAAAGGATATTTAGGCAAAATTGTGATTCTTGGTGAATAACAAAATACATATTCATGCAAAACAAAATTAATACTGTAATAATGTTTCCCTGAGAAGTTATAAAGGAAATCGATCAGTCTGTGTAACAAAGATCACAAAGAAGAAAGCATAACATTTAATCCATAGCTTTTAGTGCATCTATAAGAGTTATGGTTGTTAGGGATGGCCCAAATGGACTTAAAAGATTTATCACAATGTTTTTTGGCATTTGTGATAAGAATATCAATGGCAATATAATTCATATATATATATCCACGAAGAGATCTTTTTATAAAATAGTGGAGAGTTATTCAACCCTGCTTCTGAATGCCCACTGTGGAGTGGAGCTCAGCAATAATCAAACACTAAAGCAGCTAATCAAGATTTTCAGGATCATATAAAATACACATATCAGGTATAAAATAGATGTGCTAAAGCAGTTTAAGGCTCTTATTCATAGTTGAAGTCCCCTGAAATACATGTCAATATTATTTATGTTTCATTTAAACTGGACACAAGAGGACGCCATAGTGTATAATCTACTCATATAGATTATTAAGGATATCAGATAGGCTTCTACTGAGCAAATAGGAGACACATGATAGCAACAGATAAATGAATCAAACGTGAACACAATAAAAAAAAAATCATTGTAGCAATATATGAATTATTTATGTTCTTTAAGCCATCCTAGGTTTTGTATAAGGATAAATTATATTTATAATGCAATCTAATTGACGTCTGCTCACAAAAAAAGACACTCGACTAATGTCATGAAGTTTATTAAGTACTTAAGTCAGTAAATCTGTTAAAAAGGAAAAAATGTATTTCACATGTGCTACTAAAATAAATCACTGCAAATACTAAGTGTATATTTAATTGTAGTTATTACTATTGTTAGTCTATTGTTTCCTGTTGTGAACAAATAATAAAATATCTCCCATCTTGAATGAGTATTAATTCAGTTTTCATCAGTTTCATCATTTCTTTAAAAGTCATGTTCAATATTCTACTGAAGCAATAAAAACATTATAGATGGCCTAAGGATGAGCAAGCTAACATATTTACATTTTTGGGTGAACTATACCTGAAAAACAACTAGTGTACTACTACATTTAATAAATGACAAGTTGTTCTGCATTAAAAAAATTACTTTCATATTTCAACAACACAATCTACACTCTCTTCTAGACTACATCGTATACGAGACCATGACTTTAAGGCCATCGCGGACCATGCAAATCAATGAAGATAGTTCATATCTGATTCGCACCATGAGCGACGCCTCGCTGGTGAAAATGAGGGTGAAAAGTAAGAAGATGATTGAAAGTCAAAAGAACAGAAACCATCGCTTCTCCATCAATGGACACTTCTACAACTATAAGGTCTGTAGTTTAATTGCAATGATCCAAATGTCAAGCTTGGGCCTGTATGCAATCTATGAGTAATACAGTGTTGTTATAAGTTGTTATAAGTTATCATAACACATAAATAATACATGAATACAATATTTTTAAAAAGCAAATGTGTATGCTAAAAATTTGACTTTGAGAGGGTTAGATGCTAAATTCAGAAATGACACTTGTGGTCAATTAGTGAAATGCAGCAAGTAACTTACTGCTTGTTTTGAATGTTTCTTTATGGTGCGTTATTTATAATTTGCAAGCACAATTATGAACATGTCATCTGATGTTTGAATATGTCTGTTATGTACAGTGCAGACAATTTTGCTGACAAAAGTTACAAACACAGCCTTATTAAATAAAGCTATGGTCATGCAGGCAAGGATCAAACAGGAGCAGGCTGTAGCAAAATGGGTAATCCAAAAAAGTAATCCAAAAACAGGTCATGGCTAGGAATGGCTGATCCAAAACTGATGTTTCAACGTGGTGATGAGATTGCGAAGTGCAGGTGCTGCTCCGAAGTGTTTCAAGACATCCAGGTCATGTGACTAAAGCAAATCAAATAATTGGGGCATTTACCAAGTTTTTCAAGACCTGGCACCCTTGGCAAATCTCAAATAAAAAATCGCACAGTAAAAACCCACTCGCACTTGTACTAGTGAAGAGTGCACAGGCATATAACGGAACTGTGCTGCAGACGTCCCAAGTTCAAATCCTAGCAGTACAAAAATTCAATAATTGTGACTTGATGTATTTTATTTACATTTTTAAAGACCAAAACAACCGATTTTTTCAAAAAGAGTTCATTCAGATGATAGACTCATGTTACAGCAAAACAGAGCAATAAAAACTAAAATTTTAAATGACTAAAGTTCAACTACACTTCCCCTTGGATTTGAACCCAATATCCCTGTCAGGAACACTGCCCACTCCACTTGTTCATACGTGAGTTTTAATTACTCAGTTCACTTAATACTTTCTTTGCTGAAGTGGTTTCAGACCAATACCTGAAAATGACTACCAGTTGTTATTGTAAAGATTGTTTTTCACATTTTTTAAACCCTTGACACATTTTCTTCGATTGTTTTACTATTTCACAAAACTTCACTCTGCTCACCGCCAGTTGTGGCAGGCGACAAACAATCAATAATGCAGATTGGTATTGGTATCAGCTGTAGAGTGTAATCAGTGTCCATGTTGGTGCAAAACATGATAGGAGTTGTAGTCTTGGTGAATAGTGAAGCAGAAAGTCCCACAAGTCCCACTGATAATTATGACAATGTATTTCACAATGTACAATTGTTTCACGTGAGCAAATAAAGTTTAAAATCAAGAAATTTAATTGCCTGCTTGTTGATGCTTTGGCACAAACAAACTGTGTGTAGTTGCTCTTAAAGTATGAAGAGTTCTGATGCAAAAGCCGCTAAATGCCACTTCAGCCAAAAATAAGATAATGACATCGAGTAAATGCTTTAGGCACGCAGTACACTATCAACAAATAGATTTGCTTCAAACCATATAAATCGCAGCATCAGCCCATTCAGAAAAAGCAGTTTGTTGTAAAAAACCACTAAACGCCACTTCCCTTTGACAGCAAAAGCCGCTATGTCCCAAGAACCAATCAGAAGGCACAAATCCAATCACATGTTATCAATGTAAGGGTGCACTGATACTCCAGCTTTATGAGGACACTGTTTTATTCCGCTTACTGTAACAAGTTACAGCAAAATGTTTAAGTCAGTCCAAGGTCAACTCTAAGGTTGCCATCTGGTTCTTACTTTGTTTTTTTTTAAATAATTTCTGGTATTTCAGAATAACAAATCAACATTCTTGGTATAAAAACTTGCTATTTACAGTATTTAATGACATGCACAGGAGCGGTGCAATGTCAGTTTGCAGTTATTGCAGTATATAAACTCCAGATTCTATTTATTCCACAAACAGAGTTTGATTAACTGGATGAGCCTGTCCGACTGTCATGTATGGCAAATAAAATCGTCCTGTACCTCAAAACTCTGTGCATTATAAGAAAAAGAAAACACACTGTAGAGAAGTTAATGCATGCATCCACAACGGGTTTTTTTTCGCAGTGACGCTATTTTGAATGAGTCCGATTCACTATACATTAAACGGCAGCTGCGTTTAGATGCGTTTAGAAGCTGAGTTAAGATGCAGGATTTTTTTTATCCCACGTGGATAGGATAAACAAGAGACCAAGACCTTAAGTATGGTGAGAATGAATGAATGACAGTTTCTAAATTTGTCTGAGAGACATCACCTTTTTGCCCAGTAGGCCTATACCTTGTGATTTATTTGCTAATTTAAGCTATTTTTAAAAGATATAGTGCATAAAATTGTACAGTATTTATTAAATCTAAATACCAAATATCAGAAATGACAACAGATTGTTCAGATTTAAATAATGTCAATTTTAAGGTTAATAATTAATGCACTTGCTTGACAGATTTCATTCATTTTCCTTCTGCTCTTTCCCTGGTTTATCACAGCGGAGTGAACCGCCGCTTACTTGACAGATTTAAGTATTTTTAAATTCAGGTGGTTTGTGTAATGTGTTTTATGTTTGGTAAAATAATTTCTAACAGCATCTTTAGTGATTTTCAACTAATTACACTTTCTTGTCCCAGTAGGTGGATTTAGAGGTTTCTACAAAAAAACACAAGTGGATTTAGCTGGTTTTGACTCAAAAGAAAATTCACCTTGTTAAAAACCAAGGAGTTGTCTAAACTGACATTTATGAAAAAAAAGCAATTTTATTTGCTAGCTAATAACCTTTTCATTATCTATTGAATGAAACTTCTGAACCTAATCAGAAGAGCCTGATAGAAAACGCTCATTTACAAGAAAAGAGGTCAGATGAAACTAGAGGGTTTTGCATCTGAACTCTTCATATGTTTTTATACTTTTGTTACACATGTACAAATACTTTTTGCTTCAACTGCCTTTCGTGGGTCAATCCAACATGGTAAAATAAATGATTGCTGATAAATAATGGTTAAATAATAAAAAATAAAAAATAACATTTTTATTAAATTATCTTATGGCAATACAATTAATTCTGGTGACTCTTAAAAAAGTAATATGCTGATATATTTTGTCCTTTAATGAAATTATTAAATTACTGAATTCACCTATGATACAAAATATCTATATTCATAAAATATAACTAAACAAACTGTATTAAAGTAAACAATAAAAACAATTTGGAGTAAATAAAACGTAAATAAATAAACTTCCTAACCTATTACTTCCTTTTTTCTGTAGAATTTAAAAGAAAATTTTAAAAAAATGTTTAAATTCTGAACACACCATTTTTCCTGATTTTTTTTTTCGATGACTTTGTTATTGTTTTTTTTTATAATTCTCTGAGTCATTTTGTTATTGTAGACATCTGTTTTCACACCATCATTTGGAGCAACCACAAATGTGCACATTAACAGCAGGATGACGACACAAGAGGTCATTACACAACTGCTACACAAATTTAAAGTAGGTACATGTATTATTACTGAAGGTTCGATACATAAGAACCACAGAGTTTACAGTTCCATTTAATTTTCTTTTTGCAGGTAGAAAACAGTCCAAATGAATTTTCCCTCTACTGCATTCATCAAACTGGAGGTATGTAGAACCCTCACTTTATTCCAAATCATACAAAAGCTGAAAAAAAAAGCTCAATCATTGACACCACCATTATTAAGACCAAACCAGAAAATATACAAAACAAAATGTGTACATGCTTTTAGGGTATTATGCTTGTTCAAACTACTTAATTAAAATGAGCTAAAACAACACAATTCTTGAGATTTCATTAGGACAACTTGTTTTATGTTTACTCTACAGAAATTTGTTGAAAGTGTTAAGGTAACTAAATGAATTTGTGTTGGGGTAATATGAATGAATTGTGTGGAACCCTACATTTTTTAGAGTGTATCCAAACCCAAAAAGTATCAAATGAATATAAATATAGATTAAGCTATATGTATAAGATAAGTATTAAAATTAATTCTATTGGATTTTCTAATGACAATATCATGCCTTTTTTTTTTTCTTATATTCTGTGCAAAATTCTTTACAGATACCCAGTCCTTAAAGACAAAAAAAAAAAAAAAAAAGAATGAAACAAGTATTGCACTGTTATCTGCCAGACTTTTTAATCACAGTATTACTTTCTAATTATGGCTTCATATGTTTTCCCCCTTTTTAGCGTTCTGATCAAGTTAAGTCAGATTTATTAATGAAGTGAATCATCTGATTTCATTAATTGTCTCACATTTTTCATTGAGCAGGTGTAATATTTATTAATATTAATATTATTATTCAGATTATTATATTCACTAAATGACAATCCTTCCTGCTCATTCTAGTGTGTTAGGCTCATGATTAGTGCTTGGTAATGTTACAGAGCCTGGCTTTTCACTGTTAGCTGCAAACTAGACTAGAGGCTGCTGCTGCTGAAGAGCTACAGTACAGAAAAAAAGTTCAATACATAAACGGTGGTTTGCAGACATCATTGTTTTGCAATGCTCCTAACTAAATTATCGTTAACTTATCGGGCTCTATTTTGTCGGTCCATGCGCAAAACGGAAAGCGCAGAGCGCAAACGCATTCAGGGCGTGTCATAATTCATATTTTCTACTATAAGCATGGGAAAATCCGCTTTGCGCTGTGGCGCATGGTCTAAAAGGGTTGAGTTTATTTTCTTAATGAGTTTTTTTGAGAATAAACCAATTAGAGTCTCATCTCCAATTCCCTTTAAGAGCCACCTGCGTCGCGCCATAAGCGCATTTGCTATTTACATGACGTAAAGTAAGTTCACTTTCCCTTTTGCTCTTGTGAATAGGAAAACCTTAACGCACAGATATCAATTAGCCTATAAATAATTAATTTAGTTTGTTAAGCGCAAATATTTGTATCTAAACTTTTTCTAAATTTAGTTATAATTTCCAGCAAACTAATAAATGAACAATAATAACGAAGTGTGGTCAAAATACTGAGTTATTTCCAAATACACCTGCTATGCCCCATATTGTCTAAAACCTAGGTGGACAAATCTAAGCTTGTTTTTAATAAAACAAATATAAATATGGATATAATAAATAATACTGCTAATAATAATAACATTTTACAAAAGCAAATTGAATGAACTGAAAAAGCCTCCCCAGATGAAGAAAGTAAAGGCAGCGGTTTTTAAATTCATGTAGGGTAGAAATTAATATGTTTTATAAAATTTTAATCATTCATATTTATATCCTATATATATGGATGATGGGCAGGATCACTGCGTTGCTTGCTTGGGGGTCCAACATGTTAATGCAGTGCTTGCGGGCAGTTCATGTCGTCACTGCGATGCCATGACTGTTGCGCTATTGAGATCGCGGCTAGCCCTTGTAAAGAGGCGAACCACCCCAGCCGTCCCCTGCACTGCAGCGGGCACTTGGGCAGATCTGAGGGTTTCAGCAGGAGATAATACGCCGCCCACGGACCCGCGGACCTCCCGCTCCTCCAAGCGCTCCATCCAAGCTTCGGGCGAGGGAAGCGATCTGTCTAACCAGATGGTAGCCCTTACGCTCGATGACACCGGAGACCAGACATCCACTGCAACATCGGAGGGTGGGCTTTCATTGTCCGATGATGATCTAGACCCGCTCGCCCCCTCCGGGCAGGTAAGCGCTATCAAGACGGATCCTGAAACGGACATGTTAGCTGTGCTTTCCCAGGCTGCTTCGGTCGTGGGGTTGGAGATGGTTTATCCCCCAGCTCCGCGGCCGGACCGACTAGATGGGTGCTACGTAGAGGACCAGAGGGCGAAGCCTTCGAAGCCTCTCGTCCCCTTCTTCCCGGAGGTGCACAGTAGGCTCACACAGTCTTGGAGGGCACCTTTCTCTGCCCGTGCTGCGTTTCCTCCGCCCTAACTACTCTTGACGGCAGAGCGGCCAGGGGGTATGAAGTGAATCCGCCTTCTTGGCGGGCTCCGCCTCATCAAAGCCTGTAGGTTATCTGCCTCCCTCAGAGCCAGAGCTTACAAGGCTGCGGGCCAGGCTGCTTCCGCCTTGCACGAGATGGCCACCTACCAGCGCTACCAAGCGCAGGTGCTGGTCGAGCTGCATGAGGGTGGTTCCAACCTAGGCTTGTTACACGAGCTTCGCACCGCAACTGACTATGCTCTTCGGGCCACTAAGTTCCCTGCGTGTTCGTTGGGGAGGACAATGTCCACACTAGTGGTCCAGGAGCGCCAACTCTGGCTAAACCTGGCTGATATGCGCGAAATTGACAAAGTTCGCTTTCTTGACTCCCCCATATCCCAGGCTGGCCTGTTCTGCGACACCGTCTGTGAATTCACCCAGCAGTTCAAGGCGGTGAGAGAGCAGTTGGATGCGATGGGCAATGTCATCTATCGGCGGGACCGTAAGCCCGCTCCGCCCGCCGAACCATCCACATCTGCTGCTCCTCGCCGAGGGCGTCCGCGAACCGAGCGCGTCGTGCACCTCGGAAGCAGACAGCCCCCCCTGCCCAGTGCACCGTTAAGTCCGGTAAATGGACCGCGAAGCGTCCCTGAGACAGGTCATACGGAGAAGAGGAAATTTGCTCTTTCCCCGCTGGAGGGCGGGGCCCAAATTCCAACGGTACTTTTCAGTGCCACGAAAACATCAATATAAGAGCACTTTTCCGCTTCCCCGGATGTGAGAGCACGAACCCTGCCAGTCCGGGATGCTCTGCTTTCCAGCTCGCAGGCTCTGTGCACTTCGCCAGTGGCTCACGAGCACTGGGGGGACGGTCTCCTTTCCCCCACTCCTCAAGCCCCCTCTCCGGAGTTAGGGTGCGGAGTGAGACCAAATCGCTCACCTCCAGCTCTTCCGCGGGACCCTCGCGCTTTTTCGGATCAGCACACCCACTCTGTGCTGCCCCACTGCTGGTACGTCAGCGATTGTTGCAATGAGTCCATTAGCGAGGGCTCTGCCTGCCTGGTTAGCGCGGCCAGCCCTTCGTGGTGGCTCATATGCACAATCAGACTTGGTTATGCAATCCAGTTCGCGAAACGGCTCCCCAAGTTCACGGGTGTGTATTTCACAAGGGTCAGCCCCCTGTCCGCCCCTGTCTTGCAAGAGGAGATTGCTGTCCTCCTGGCAAAGGATGCAATCGAGCAATTGATTATGTACAGAGACATGGTGCTCCGGCACCTCCACCTGTTGGGGTTTCAGGTCAACGGAGAAAAGAGCAAAGTCGCCCCGTGCAGAGAATCTCTTTTCTCGGGTTGGAGCTGGACTCGGTCACCATGACAGTGCGCCTCTCCGGAGAGCCCGCTCAGCTGATGCTGAACTGTCTGAGAGAGCTCGACAGCAAAATAGTGGTCCCACTGAAATTATTTCAGAGGCTCCTGGGGCATATGGCATCCGCAGCTGCTGTCACGCCACTCAGATTATTACATATGAGACCATTCCAGCACTGGCTTCACGATCAAGTCCCCAGACGCGCATGGCACGCGGGCACACACCAAGTCTCTGTTACTGCGCTGTGTCGCCACGCCCTCAGCCCTTGGAATGACCCCTCGTTCCTACAGGCTGGAGTGCCTCTAGGACAGGCGTCCAGTCATGTTGTTGTCTCAACAGATGCTTCCAACACGGGCTGGGGGGCTGTGTGCTGCGGGCATGCAGCTGCGGGCCTGTGGAAAGAAACCCAGTTGCATTGGCATATCAATCGCATGGAACTGTTGGCAGTGTTCCTCGCTCTCCAACATTTTTTTCTCGTGCTGAAGCAGCAACATGTGCTGGTCAGGACGGACAGCACGGCGGCGGTGGCGTATATGAACTGTATGGGGGTATTCGCTCTCCCCGCATGTCTCAGCTTGCCCACCGTCTGCTCCTCTGGAGTCTTCCGCGGCTGAAATCACTAAAAGCCATTCACATTCCAGGCAAGCTCAACCGTGCAGCCGATGCGCTCTCACGCCAGCCCTTACGTCCTGGAGAATGGAGACTCCACCCCGAGTCTGTTCAGCTTATATGGGCGCGATTCGGGGAAGCCCAGATCGATCTGTTTGCTTCTCCCGAGAACGCTCATTGCCAGTTGTTTTTTTCCCTGATCGAGGGCTCTCTCGGCACAGATGCAATGGCCTACAGCTGGCCTTAACTACACTTCCACCAGTGAGCCTGCTTGCACAGTTAATGTACAAGGTCAGGGAGGACGAGGAACAGGTTTTGCTGGTTTCGCCCCTCTGGCCCAACCGGACCTGGATGTCAGAGCTCTCCCTACTCGCAACGACCCTCCACTGGCAGATCCCTTTGAGAGAGGACCTACTCTCTCAGGGACAGGGCACCATCTGGCACCCTCGCCCTGATCTTTGGAACCTCCACGTGTGGTCCTTAGACACGAGGAAGACTTAGGTAAATTACCGATTGCGGTGGTAAATACCATCACTCAGGCTAGAGCCCCCTCCACGAGGTGCGCCTATGCCCTGAACTGGAGTCTATTCACTGAATGGTGCGAAGACCCCCGAAATTGCCAGATCAGCATTGTGCTTTCTTTCCTTCGGGAGAAGCTGGAGAGCAGGCTGTCGCCCTCCACACTCGAGGTTTACGTGGCTGACATCTCCGCTCATCATGACACGGTGGCTGGCAGCACCGTGGGAAGGCCCCCCTCTCATGCCCTCTTGGGATCTCACCCTCGTTCTCACAAGCTTGCGTACTGATCCCTTTTAGCCACTTGAATCATTACCTTTAAGATCTCTGTCCTTGAAGACAGCTCTGCTGGTCGTGTTGGCATCTATTAAGAGGGTCGGGGACCTGGAGGCATTTTCAGTCAGTGACTCGTGCCTGTAATTTGGGCCGGATTACTCTAACATTATCCTGTGACCCCGCCAGGGATATGTGCCCAAGGTTCCTACCACACCATTTAGAGACCAGGTAGTGAGCCTGCAAGCGCTGCCCCCGGAGGAGGCAGACCCAGCCCTTTCCTTACTTTGTAAAGTTAGCGCTTTGCGTATTTATCTGGACCGTACTCAGAGCTTTAGATCATCTGAGCAGCTCTTCGTCTGTTCTGGCGGTCGGCAGCAGGGAAGTGCCGTATCGAAACAAAGGTTGGCCCACTGGATAGTGGATGCCATTTCTCTCGCTTATCAGAGCCAAGGCGAGCCGTGTCCCCCGAGAGTGCGTGCGCACTCCACTCGGAGCATCGCATCCTCTTGGGCGCGTGCACGCGGCGCCTCTCTAACAGACATATGTAGAGCTGCGGGCTGGGCGACACCTAATACATTTGCAAGGTTTTACAATCTGCGAGTGGAGCCGGTTTCCTCAAGGGTATTAGGTAACCCTTGGTGATTGAGGAAATAAGTCATGAAGGTGTTGAAACACGCTTGCTGCGCCACTCTCCCTAACACGGAGATACTTGTGCCTTTTTATCTGTCAGTCAAGTTCCCTGTCAGGTGAGGCCTGCAGATTCCTCTGAGGCCCCCAGCCCTGACTCAGCGGAGAGTCATTTGCTGGCTCACTAAGTTAGGTCTGCCCGCTGGTCAGCCCCAGTTTTGGGTGTAGGTGCCCGCTATGCGTGATCCCCACTAGGCGATCCCATATGCTTATTCAGCCACGGTGTAGTCCCCCCTCACAGGCGGACCCGTTTCTTCCCTCTCCGCTAACCATCTTATTATATGCGTACTCCCCCTTTCAGGGCTAGTCCATATGTATTTTTTGCCATCATATCTCCCCCATTGGGTAGCAGATGGCCTCCACAGCGTCCTCCCTATCGGGACTGCACGCTTTCCCAACGTACTGTCGTATTTTCCTAGAATTATCTAGACACGACTTTCTAAAAAAATATATCTAAATCCGTAAAACTTCTTTGAAGTGGGATAAGTAAGGGCCAGGGATCACGTTGGAGGACCGCACCTCTCTTTGATGCCTAAGCGCTCACGCTATGCCTGGCTATCCTCTCATCGGAGGCGAAAGTAAGGTGCAGTCATTATGGCGTTTTCCAGAGATTTCCCCATTCATGAATTAAGTAAATTGACTGATAACATTAAAGTTCCCCTTCCGAAGGGGAACGCTCTAATTACTAAAGTAACCCTCATTCCCCGAGGAGGGGAACAGAAATGCTATTTAGCATCGCCATAATGACTGTTCCTTAGCTGTAGTTCAGTCTCTTCAGCTTAAAAGGATGGCGTGTCCTTGCTTCACCTGTCCTTATATGCGGAGATAATTGGCAATAAGGCACATGTGCGCAAGCTTACGCTGCCAATTCATTGGCATTTCATTGGCCCATTGTATATTCTTTCTGACGATTGGCTTTCTGAAACGAAATCCCCATTCATGAATTAAGTAAAGTCACTGATAGCATTAAGTAAATTCACTGATAGCATTTACTTTAGTAACCAGAGCGTTCCTGCCGCTTGTTTTGGTGAAAAATGTAATCGGCTTTTTTATTTTATTTCTGGCCTTTTCAGTGCCACCTTTGTGCTTTTTTGCTATCAACTGCCCCCCGCTGCCAAAAAAAGGACCGGCCCACAGGGAATACTTCCAGTCTTCCCGATTAGCCAATCTGGGCCTGATGTCAATTGATTTTTTATTTTATTTTTTTCTTTAATATATTTTCATTTGTACTCAAACAGAAGCAACAAACTCAAATAGATTTGAAACAAGTGGGCAATTGTTTAGTCACAATCGCAACAGTTTCGCAACTATCGCAACTATCAGCCTATTTATACATGAGCAGGGTCAAAAACTGGACAGGAGATTACTCTAGTCAATTACTTCTAAATTAAGATGTTTGTTGTTGATGCAAAAATCTTGATAGCATAAGATTCCAGCAAAAATCGAAGGGTCAGCTAGACTGAACACCACTCTGATCACTTATTTGGACCTACACCTTCTCCACACCAGATACTCATTGTGTCTCATTGACACTCAAGATGCTTAGCCAGAGGAGAATTGGTCACCCTGTCTGAGTTTAGTTTCTTACAAGGTTTGTTCAAAACTGCCAAAAGATTTGATTCCTTGCCACTGTCACCTTTGATTTGCTTGGTTGGGGCTGGAGCTGTGCTTAGGTGGAGTTGCTCTTCAGTGGATCAGCCTTCAGCAGTTATATTTGCATTACAATGACCTAAATTAAACTGAACTGAACTTTGCTATTTATTTGATTTGCTGGAATGTTCCAAGTTTTTAAATATTGTCATGGCATTTTATTATTTATGTAAATAGAATAGAAATAAACATTCATTGAAAAAACTATATATTATAAGGCTGCTTTATTAGTATTGGTTTGTGGCTGGAAGGGCATCGGCTGCGTAAAGACATATGTTGGAATAGTTAGTGGTTCATTCCGCTAAGGCGATTCTTGATAAATAAGGGACTAAGCCTAAATAAAATGATTAAATTTATTCATGAAAGTTCATGACCCCTTTAATGAAACCAAAAGCTGTGAATGCCAAGTGTTCCAGGACTAAATGTACAAGTTATGTGGAGTGAACTACGAATGTGAACACGCCCAAAGTTTTCAGTCACATTTCTGATTATTATATCCATCTTTTATAGAGAAGAGAAGGTTGAGCAGTTCAGACCTGCCCTTGTGGGAGCGTGTTCTACAAGGACCATCAAACTTCATTATGAAGATGTTCCTCATGGATACAGACGAAGAGGAAATTAGTCTTGATGTAAGTCTAGCTCTTCAGGTATTACAGAAAGTGTATTTTACTCAAATAAGCAAAACTAACGGGCCATTGCATTGATTTAACAGGTAGCTCAGTACCTCAATTTAGAAATGCCCATTTTGAAGGTTATCCTGCAGAAACTGGAAGAGCAAGAGAATCTGGAGATACAAAGGATAAAAGCAAAGTAAGTCTAAGGGTGTGTTGTTGTCTTTTTACAACTTTTACTTTCACAGTCATTCACTTAAAAAAATAAATAAATTGTATATAAAAGCATCTTGAGAGTGTGGTGAAGCCTACAGTATTGCTTAAGTGAGCCAATAAGTCAAGTTATTACTGCCAAAGAAATTCCTCTATTGATTTTAAAGATTATAATACACAATATAATTCAGTAACATTACACAAGCTTATATACAAACAAAAAGTTCCAACAAAGCCAGAGAAAAACATTTGTGTCTCAGAACAAAGTTGCAGAAATTCCTTCTTGTATGTATCTGTTTTAGAACAAATTAGATCAGTGATTCATCTGAGATGTTCACTTGCTTTTTAACTAAATTAATGTGTTGAATAAATAATTTGAATTAATGATTCTGTGATTTACTCATTAAAAGGAATTTTCACCCAAATCTGAAAATGCCTGCACTATTTTCTCACACCCTAGTGGTTTTTGACTTTTATGAGTGTCTTTCTTCTCTTGAACCTGAACCAATATTTTCAGAAGATTGTAAATTGCTTTTAGTTCAGAGTCACATAGAACTAACAAAAAATGTAGTAGAACAGATTGCATTCATTGGCAACACTTTTACAGTCTGCATTTGCAGAACACAACCTGATTCCTTTATAATCGTTATCCATTCTGCACAGTAACCACTGCTTCCTTTGGTGATTCTAAACATGTTTGAAAATCGATTCAGAATAATTAGAGAAAGACTCATGATGCATGTTTTTTTTTTTTTCGACCACTCCTACTACCTTTTAGTGTCTAAACCAGCCCACTACCAACATACTACAACGACATTCCTAGCAAAATGTTTTTTTTTAAATAAAATCCCCAAAATATTATATCCAATTTGTTAATGTCACATCTATAGTCCACAGCACTTACAACATGATTGTGGCAATTACTTCTTTTTATGATTTTTCCATAAAAGACTTAATCACTATATAATTTATTTTGTTACACAGATACCAGAAGGAAAGGAGTCTCTTGTTGCAGTGCTTGAGGAAAAAAATGCCAGTTAAAACCGAGACGACTGTATAAAGAAGTCTTGGCAGTGGGAAACAGTTTTCCATGTGAGATCAACCACGAATGAGAAACAGTAAAAAAAAAAAAAAAAGAAAAGTGCATGCAGGACATAGCTTTACACTATTATGTTTGTGGTGTGAGTGTAAATAATGTAAAATAGATTTTGCATAATGGAACTGTAATTAAACTATTTATCTTGTGAGAGACCAAATAAAATGCTGGTATTTGAGTTGCAGTTTGTTTGTGAAATAACTACTGTCGTGCTCTGTTGCTGTATTTGATCTGTGGTTTGGGGAAAAAATTCCATTAGGCTTACTGTAGCTTTCTGGAAAATGTCTGTCAGTTTATTCTGGGCAAAATGCAGCACATAAAATCACTTATAATTAAGTCATTACGTAACTTGTTTTTTAATAGTTTAGGAATACTGATGTCACTTCATGAATCTGAAGACATTTTATTAAAAAATAAATAAAAGTGGGTTCTAAACAAAATATTAAATTGCTTTTAAAAGAAGATTATTTCAATCCATGTTGTATAATCTTACAAAAATTATACAGAAGCTACTGGATATATCACAAAAATGCTAGCAAAACAATGGGTCATCAATATCCAAAAGTGCAAAACTATACAGTATCAATTTGTTGTTAAAGTGAAATTCAAGCGGATCTTTTGCAGATCATTTTGTGCACCTCATGGTCATCATTCATTGGGTCCATGGTGACCTCAAACTTGCATGTCAGTTGCTGAAAAAAATACAATGAAATAAATATTTTATTAAATTACAAGTGTCATTTAAAAAAAAAAAATTAAAAACATCGCAACAACAATTTTATGCACATGGGTCAAGTACAGTGTCTGTACCTAATTAAATTGACAAAAGTAACTATATACATAGAAAAACAATCAAATTAAACGCTATTGTAAAAATAATAACATTTTGACATATTTCCCAATCATCATTTATGGTAAAAGTCATATATAAAGATGCTCTAATATATATTCAGGTAAGCTATATTTTTTTCGATAGTCTACAGAACAAACCAACGCAATACAAAAGTTTGCATATTTACCCTACCTTGCCTACTTTAGCTAATTAACCTAGTTAAGCCTTTAAATGTCACATTAAGCTGTATAGAAGTGTCTTAAAAAAAAACATCTAGTAAAATATTATTTACTGCCATCGTGGCAAAGATAAAATAAATCAGTTATTAGTTATTAAAACTTATGTTTTACTAGATATTTTTCAAGACACTTCTATACAGATTAAAGTGATATTTAAAGGCTGAGCTAGGTTAATTAGGTTAACTAGGCAGGCTAGGGTAATTAGGCAAGTTATTGTATAAAGGTGGGTTGTTCTGTAGACTGTCGAAAAAATATAGCTAAAAGGGGCTAATAATTTTGACTTTAAAATGTTTTTAATTTTTTTAACGGCTTTCCTTCTAGCCGAAATAAAACAAATATTATTAGACATACTGTTTTATATATATATATATATATATATATATATATATATATATATATATATATATATATATATATATATATATATAAAACAATATATTGGGAAACAATGTATTGGGTAAGGCATGTTTCTTTAATTAATTTTTTTTAAGAAAATGACAAATGTTTTATAAATGTTTTGAGGGATATTCCGTCAATTATTAATTTCTTAACTCTTCTGCAGTTAAAACTTTGGTATTTTTTGTCTAAAAATGTATAATGTCTGAAAACATGGCAAACATTGTGTTTGTTTTTGCAAAGTTATAGCTTTTTTATTTTAAACTAGGAAGAAATGTTAAACAGTTACAAATAACCCCATTTTCCTCTTTGATACATATGTAGTTTTTGCATGGATGCAAAGAAACGCAAACAAACAATCAATCAAATCTTTATTAAATCATAGAAATTCTATATATTTTTAACAATTTAAATCTCATAGGTTAATAAAAACTAAATTCTGAAATAATAATAATTATAATAATAAATAATTAAATATACCTTTTTTGCCATGAGACAAGTCTCAATGTTTACACCTTCCGATTTGTGGCATTTCGTTTTTCCAATAATGGCCTCTATTTTGTAGTTTATCCTATTTGTAACCTGTACAGAAAAGTGTGTTATTTAATGTGATTAAAATACATTTAAAGCACACGTGAACTGTAAGAACCCATGAAAGCTGTACCTGAGTGCTAGCTGATGTGATCTTAATGAGTTTGAAGTATTTCTTTGCTCTGGGCTTGCTGTTAAATTGCTCTACAGCTTCTTTCGCTGCGTCTTGAACATCTTCTCTGTCCGGATTGGCATCAGTCCATCCACCAAGCAGCTCCACATTTCCTGAGAGACACAGAGACAGAATGTTAATCACAGCACTTGCTCTTCATGACATGAATCAGCAATGGGTTTATGAAAAGAAAAAAAAATTCTCAAATTATGTACATTTTTTAATAGCTTTTTTTTTCTATGGTTAGCATGTTAAACCACAGTTTCCTCTACTATACTACAGATGCACAAATATTTCAAGAATAAAGATGACAAGAACAACAAAATTAACAAAAAATGTTAATGAAAAAATAAATATATCATGCAAAATGTTAAAACCATTATTTAAATACCTAGTTGTCGAGAAAAATTTTTAAATTTTCAATTAAAAAATAACTAGAATTGAAATCAATAAAATATTGTTATTGACTAACATAACTAGTTACACTGTTTAATTCTAGTTACTAACATATCTAAAATTAAAGTCAATAAAATAATGAAAACTAGCTATAGAGCCATAAAAAACATCAACATAATGATTAAAGAACATATATAAACACATAAATACATTAAAGCTAAATCAACTAAACAATTTTTATTAAAAATAAGAAATGATAAAATAAATGTTTTAAAATAAAATAAATCTTAATCTTACAAAAAAATAATTCAGCTTGTTTAACGTGATGTAAGATAACTTAGTACTAAATTATACTAAATTTACTATAACTACACAACTAAATTATAACATAACTACCAAAGCCTATACAATAAGATCAATAAAATAACAAATATAAGAAAAAATCTGGCACGCGCTAAAAAAAACAGATGTTATAAATATAACGACTAAAATTATAAAATGAAAATAATAAAAAGTAACTTATGGTAATATCATCTATTCTATATTGTACAATAGCTGCTGCAAACATCGACGCAACTCCTGACAGTCTACAGAAATGTAGAATAAGACATTTAATTAGCCTAATAAAACAAATACGGCCCCTAATGTTACCACTTACTTGCTACAACTACCGCCTCCTCCAGAGGCTGGTCAGCTCTGCTCAAGTGAAACAAAGGGAGAAAAGACACCAAGAGAAGCAGGTAGATGTCCATGTCTCCAGCTGCGTGTGTCCGGCAGAATGAGGTTCTCTGTGAATATGTGGCCGCTTTTGGAAACACAGTCCTAAAGATCTTGACGCACCCCGCGGCTCCAAAAGCGCCCTTCCCCCGGGCGGAGCTCCGTCAACGCCCAAACCCGACAGTGAATCAACACAGACGGTGAGTCAGGGTGGAAAACACACAGTCCGCACTCCGCAATTGAGTCAAGTGTGTGTGAAAGTGTGTGACCTGTGACAGTGAACTAGGAAAGAAAGGGTAATCTGCTTAAATGCTGTAAACCCCGGCCTTCTGTCAGACTGACTTTCTATAGAATACTTCCTGTTACTTACAGGTTAAGATTAGTTTAACAACGCTTGACGGAGAACCAACGTCACTCCTACTTTTCGCTACTGCTTAGTGTATTTAAATTTGGTTATTTAAACGTTGTAAAACTAAGTCGATTTTGTTTCTAACTTAGTTCGTCATACAAGCTGTTTTACGTCAAATTGCAATGCAATTTAAGTTAAAAGTACCAATGAGGTTAATTTGATGCAACAAAAAATGCTATCTAGTAATTTTGTGTGTGTGTGTGTGTGTTCAATGTTTAAAAAAAAACATTTAAAATTTATTTTAGTTTATCGATAAATAACTTTACAAAGTAGAAGTTTATTCAAGTGTGCTATAGTATACTTTAAAACTACCCTCAATTAAGTTTTACATTTACACTGTAAAAATGTAGGGTTCCACACAATGAATGCATGCTGTCCCAACACAAGTTAACAAATTGAAGTGAATCGAACATAAATCAATTGTTTTCCCAAATAAACCAAAAAATAAATGAATAAAATTTTAAGGCATTGTTTTATTTCAGCTCACTTTAATTTGAACAAGCAGCAAAAAAAAAAATTTGACTGTTGGCATATGTATATAAATGTAATCATCTATAAAAACGTAATTGTTTAGTATATTAATTGTTATAGTATACCTAGTAATATTTAGTATAAATAAAATGTGTGTGGACCTGAATTTGATCTTTTTGGTATATTTTGAGTATAATAAAACCTTCTACCTAATACGGAACATTTAAGGTCCAAAAAATAATAAACTGTAGGTATCATATTCAATTCACTGTTCAACCAAAAACGAAACAAAAACTAAACATGGGTTTCTAATTGCTCCTGAAATTATTTATTCATTCGTTTTCCTTTGGCTTAGTCACTTTATTCGTCAAGGGTCACCACAGCAAAATGAAACGGCAACTTATTCGTCATATGTTTTACACTGTGGATGCCCTTCCAGCTGCAACACACACACATACACACATGCTTTTACACACATACACACTACAGCCAATTTAGCTTAATCACTTCACCCATACCGCATGTCTTTTGACTGTGGAGGAAACCGGAGCGCCTGGGGGAATCCCACACAAACACGGAGAATGTGCAAACTCCACATAGGAATGCAAACTGACCCAGTAGGGACTCAAACCAGCGACCTTCTAGCTGTGAATCAAAAGTGCTAACCACTGAACCACTGTATCACCCCTCTGATATATGGTGACACGGTGGCACAGTAGGTAGTACTGTCACCTTACAGCCAGATGGTTGCTGGTTCAAGCCTCTGCTGGGTCAGTTGGCATCTCTGTGTGGAGTTTGCACATTCACCTTGTGTTCGTGTGGGTTTCTCCCAGGTGCTCCGGTTTCCCCCAAAGTCAAAAGAAATGCGGTATAGGTGAATTGATTAAGCTAAATTGGCCATAGTGTGTGTGTGTGTGTGTGTGTAAACGAGTGTGTGTGGATATTTCCCTGTATTAATCCCGGTTTAATAGAGGAACTAAGCCGAAAAGAAAATTAATGAATGTAGGACTTATATATAGTTTTAGCACTTGAATGGTTCCATTTCAGCTGATGATTTTACCATTAGCGATGCAGTGGCACAGTAGGTAGTGCTGTCGCCTCACAGCTAGAAGGTCCCTGGTTTGAGCCTCGGCTGGGTCTGTTGGCGTTTCTGTGTGGAGTTTGCATGTTCTCCCTGCATTTGCATGGGTTTCCTCCGGGTGCTCCGGTTTCCCCCACAGTCCAAAGACATGCGGTACAGGTTAATTGGGTAAGCTAATTTGTCTGTAGAGTATGAGTGTGAATGAATGTGTGTGAATGTTTCCCAGACATGGGTTGCGGCTGGAAGGACATCCGCTGCATAAAAATTTGCTGGATAACATGCAGATTCATTCCGCTGTGGCGACCCCGGTTTAATAAAGGGACTTAGCGGAAAAGAAAATGAATGAATGAATGAATGAATGAATGAATGAATGAATGAATGACTTTACCATTACTGTCATCATCAGAGCAAACTTCCCAAAGTACTTGCATTCTATCAATAATTCTGTAATTGAATAAAATTATGTTCAATTGACTTAATAACTGAAAAATATATATTTGACACAAATGTAAAATTCTAAATGTTTTATTATATTATGTTTTATTAATAATAAATGCATAACTAATATTGCTTACAAAACAAATGCTTCAATGACTCTTTAACACTTTGAATTCAGGATTTAAAAAGCTTGTTTTGGTTGTGCTTCAGTCATTTAGTCAGTTGTGACGTCCAAATACCTCTCACCAAGGCTACGTTTAAAAACAATCTAGAATGTGTGTGTGGGACAAAAATCACACCCACACTGCATAACAAAAGCACAGAACAAACAACCAGGCCATAGTCACATAAAGACTCTGCTGACAGAGCACAGCGAATGAGATCTGAACAAAAAAAGAAAAGTACTCATTACATTTACTGTAGGTTAATATGTATATAAATTGTAATCAGATGAACTGCACTGTTCTTGTGACAGTTTGTTCATTTCATCTGCCATTAGGTAATGTCTGTGTATGATTTCATTTTAGACCACAAATGGCAGCTTAGCTTTTGTAATTACATTGTGTGTTCTACTACAGTAAAATATACTGTATACATTTAACCAAAATGTTTAGTATTGCTTGATAAGTATACAATGATTACGTAAAAGAAGAAGGTGAGTGTTTATCAGGTGTTTACATTGTTATTAAAATCAGTGTTACATTCGTCCTCTGAGATCACTTTTGTTGTCATGTATCAGGATGATTAGTCATTTTTGAGGCCTTGTAACTTTAATTATTCCCAGTACTGGGTTGCAGCTAGAAGGGCATACACGGTGTAAAACATATACTGGATAAGGAAAATGAATTAATAACCTTGATTAACCTGTCATATTTGTCTAAATAGAAGCAGTGCAAAGCCTTAGCCTAAAAGGGCTCAATGCAGTTGACAGGCTCTTCTCCTTAAGGACTTAAACCGACGATGAACTCTTAAACCTCGTCTGACACATGGAGATTGATCTGCATGATGATTTAGGTTAATTGTGAACCAAGAGTTTAAGACAGTGACATACTGACTGTAAAATGTTGTTACCTTACAAAGAACTTTATCATGTACTGTATGTACAGTATGCATAAGCATACAAATTATAGAGCAGGTAACACATAATTGCTCCACCCACAGACATTCTAGTAACTATTTGTAACTTTTAAAGTACATGCCAACAAATTGCTCTAACCCTAACCTCTAGCAATCTACTAACAACTCTGAGAGTTAGTTAACTCTTGTTAACTGTTGTACTCAACATGTCTAAAGGGATCAGGGGCAGACTAAGCAATTCCAGGTGTGGGGCCCTAGCATCAAAACTCAAATATTTTTCTATAGATATTTGTTTTCTCTCTAGATTATTATTATTTTTTTTTTTGTAGATGAACTGCATGTTAATTAACATATTATATTATATATTTTATATTATATTTTAAGTGGAACCTTTTTAGTTTAAAATGAAATGCTTATATTCGCATAAAAAAGCAAGCTCACAAAATATTACTCTGGTTACTAAAATAACCCTCGGGGAACGGAAATGCTATAAGTGGATTTAATCCACGTATAGGGATTTCGTTCAGAAAGCCAATCGCCTGAAAAAGTATGTAAACGGGCCAATTAAATGCCAAATGAATTGGCAGCATCAGCTTGCGCACCTGATGCTTGTTGCAATCAATTTAGCATAAAAGCACAGCGAAAGCAAGAAGATGAAACCTTTTTAATTAAACTACTTATCCCACTTCAAAGAAGATTTATGGATTTAGAGATATTTTTTCGGGAACCGCAAGCGTCTACATAATTTCTAGGAATTTAATACATGAGTACGTTGGAAAAGCGTGCAGTCCCGATAAGACAGAAGCTGTGGAGGCCACCTGCTACCCAATGGGGAGATATGATGGCAGAGTATATGGACTAGCCCTGAGAAGGGGGAGTACGCATATAATATGATGGTTAGCGGAGAGGAAAGACACGGGTCCGCCTGTGAGGGGGGACTGCACCGTGGCTGAATAAGCATATGGGATCGCCTAGTGGGGATCACGCATAGCTGGCACCTATACCCAAAACGCGGGCTGACCAGAGGGCAGACCTACCACGTAATGGGCCAGCGAGTGACTCCTCCGCTGTGTCAGTGCTGGGGGCCTCCGAGGAATCTACAGGGCTCACCTAAGCCGGGAACTATACAGACAGAGTGAATAAGTGTACGTATCTCCGTGTTAGGGAGAATGGTGCAGCAAGCGTGTTTCAATACCTTAATCGAGTTGTTTCCTCAATCACCAAGGGTTACCTAATACCCTTGAGGAAACCGGCTCCACTCGGAGGTTGTAAAACCTTGCAAATGAATTAGGTGTCTCCAAGCATGCAGCTCTACAGATGTCTGTTAGAGAGCCACCGTGTGCACGTGCCCAAGTGGATGCGAAGCTCCGAGTGAAGTGCGCACACACTCCTGGAAGACACGGCTCGCCCTGGCTCTGGTAAGTAAGGGAGATGGCATCCATTATCCAGTGGGCCAACCTCTGTTTTGATACGGCACTTCCCTGCTGCCGACCATCTTAACAGATGAAGAGCTGCTCAGATGATCTAAAGCTCTGAGTAGAGTCCAGATAAATTCGCGAACTGGGCAAAGTAAAGAAAGGGCTTGGTCTGCCTCCTCCATGGGCAGTGCTTGCAGGCTCACTACCTAGTCTTTAAACGGTGTGGTTGGAACCTTTGGCACATTTCCCGGATGTGGTCTCAGGACAATATGAGTGTAAGCCAGCCTAAATTACAGGCACGAGTCACTGACCGAAAAATGCCTCCAGCTCCCAGACCCTCTTAATCGATGTCAACGAGACCA